TTTTGCAATAGACTCAGCTTTCTCAAAATCAGTGTATGCGATCCCTTTGGGCCGTTAATGGGCGAAATATTGGTGCTGCGTCTCTTAAATTTAAAAGCGCATTCCAGATCGAATTATCATTTGCTGAAAGCGATTCTAAATGTCTGGCCCAGTCAAGTTGTGCATGTTTTTTTATTAGAGTCCTGACTTGTTGATTTAGCTGGTTTAGTAAGATTTTATCAGAAGGACATCTCAATTTTTGCCACTGCTTACATGTGTGGTTCCGTCTTCTAATCAGTTCTCTGATGTCACTATTTTTATATCTCTTGTTCGCTCTTGCAATTTTGCTGTTTTTAAGGAGTGCATCATGAAGCTCTTCCGTGAATTCTTCAGTGAGGGCGTCTAACTCATCTCTCGTTTGTACTGTGTGTGTTGGGTACTGGATGTTGTTTAGAGCTTTGGCATAACCTGCCCAGTTTGTAATAAGGGCTCTTTTGTGTGGTGTACTGTAGGTATTGGTATTAACTTCCATTATCACAGGATTGTGGTCAGATGACATTTCAGTCAAGCTTTCTAATATAACTCGGCGAGATAATATTTTTTAAAATGAAAAAGTCAATGACCAATGGTCTACCAATCCCACAGTGTGTTGGTTTCCCTGGAAATGCTAGGTTAATTTTGGCCGCTTTGTTGATTAATATCCCAGCAATTCCACTCGCGGTGGTGTGCGTTGAAATCTCCACCTATAATGACTCGATTGTTAATGTTTAATAGTGTTTTCAAATCTGCCTTGACAGAATTTGTAGGTGTGTGTATAGGAAAATAGGTGGAGATAACAGTGATTGGTCGTGATGTGTTTGGAGTGAGTGTAATAGCTAGAGCTTCAATTTCTGAAAGCTGTGGTAATGGTGTGACATAATGAGAGATGGAGCGCTTGATTAAAATAAGTAATCCACCTCTTGCATTACCTCTAGGCGCATATCTGCCTACAGTTGATCTGTCCCATCTGTATGTAACATAGCTGCAGGCTCTAAAAAAATTCTGAGGGCCAAGCATGTGTTCTTGTAGGAGTAGAATATCAGGTGCAAATTCGTGTAAAAACTCCTTGAGCTCGTAAGCTTTCGGGAGCAAACCATTTGCGTTCCATGTAATTATAGTTAAAGGCATACTTTGATACACTGATACATTATGAATTTCATTAACTATTTCAAAAAATAAGAACATTTTATCAACAGGATCCGTTAATTCTCTCAGCTTAGGCATGAAAGTTTTAAATACATTATTCATTATCTTTATGTTATGAATTCCAAAAATATTATTAAATTCTGCTACATTCTTAACAAAATTTACAAATTCTGAACATTGATTTTTCTCGTGCGGAGAACTGGAATCAGTATTTTCAGAAGAGATTTGCTTAACATTATTTACATTAGAAACATTTAAATTTTTTAGAGCATTACTAATATCAGTAACATTAAATTTCACATTATTCTTAACTGACTGGTTTTGTGCAGCAGTAGCCGAGCTGGGGAATTGCATATTAGCTTTATCTTTAAGATTGGGAATTTGGTTTTTCGTCATAGCTGCATATGAGATTCCATTTTTTACAGAACTATCTTTTTTTCTGTTGGTTACCCTTATTTTTAGGAAATTTTTCGCATCCACGATACGACGCGACATGATTTGTTTTACAGTTGCTGCATTTCGGCTCTTCAATGCGTCCCTTGGTTGGACAATCCATAGTCTTGTGTTCTAATGAGCATTTCACACATCTAGGCGCGAAGAAGCAGTTCTCCGAAGAATGGTGCCACTGTTGGCAATTATAGCACTGTGGTACCTGGTTTTTGGATACGTACTTCTCCACAGTCACAGCAAACAGTAGCAGATCAGTAACATGAAAAATTTGATCAGACATTTAATTTTTCATCACTTGCACCAGAAATAATGGCATGGGGGCACGTGTTCTCCGTCTAGTCAGTTGGGTAACCTTGCTTATGGCGAATCCTTTGGCTGCCAGTTCATTTGCTATATCATCAGTTTTCGTACTGTTAGATAATCCTCTGAAAACTACTTTAATGGGTCGAGCATAGTTCGCATTAGTAACATAATGTTCGATCTTTTTTTCTTGAAATAATGCACTAAGCATTCTGTGATTCTCAGCTGTTCGCGGTAGAAATTTTAGCAGCTCACCATTAACTTTTCCGAGAAATTTTGACTCAGTCATTAAAGCCAAATTTAGAAATTCCTCGTGTGTAGATTTGCCTGGGTTTACTATTATGGGCGGAACAGTCTGAGACTGGGTATTTGTCGGCTGCTGCTGCATTGCCTGTTGACTGGGGGTATCGTTACTAGTGATTTCAGTATTCTCATCATTTAACACATTAAATTTATTATTACATTCCACATTCAAAGGTACTTTATATTATTAAAAGGTAGTTTAGCAGTTTTAGTTGGTAATTTGAAACCGTCATCATCAATTTTCTTAGAATTACTATTAATTTTCCGTTTCACCTTAACATCACTATTTTTTAAGAGTAAGAACATTTTGGGGGCCAATGCCTGGATTAAAAGGAAGATTACACTTACCTTTTATATCTGTAGCCTGGGCCTAGAGCATTTGCAGAGCTTTCTGAAGTGGTTCCGTAGTCGTATCTGCATCCGTGACCGGTCGTAACTTCTGGCACTCAATCTTGACTTCCAAATCGTTGAGAAGATTAATCCAGTAGTCATTATCGTTAGTATCCAAAATATCAATCGTGCGGTAATCCAATACAGCTTTCTCTGATAGAAGGCGGCTCCGAAGGGGAGCTAACATCCATAGAGAGATTCATTGGATTCACTCGTCGTAGTCGGAGCGCTCATGATGAGCAACCTACACTCGCGAGGATCAAGGACCGAAAATCCATGGTCTCAAAATGAGGGAAGAAGGGCAATTTGTATTTGTGAAGAATTTGAGTGTCTTAGTCCAGTCTTCTTCAACAGAATTATTTGCATACTATTTATACAATTTTAGAATATTTTCATGTACTGCATCATAACCATTTGCATAGTTTTACCATCGGAGGGCAGTCTTTTTGATGCACGCTAATTTCAGTGACTATAAGTTTAAGATAATTCAAGTTAGTCAATATTAATTTTTTTCAATATTTTCCAGTATTAATTTTTCAAAACAATTTCAGTGCTAACTGTTTATTAATCAAATTCATATTTACAAAAGAAAAGTATGTCTATTAAAAACTTAATCTTGTTATATTCTCAGTTTACATTAGTTCAGAGAATTTAAATAAATAGGTAAAACATTATAAATAAAAAGAAATATTTCTAAAAGTTAAAAAACCAGCCTGTGCTGCCATCTAGTTGAGGGAAACGAGTTCAAAGGTCAAAGTATAATGTTTGTGACACGCCTATTTTCAAGATGTGGATCTAATTATTAGAATTCAAGTAGAGCACATTCATTCCCTATATCTGCAATTATTTCTAAGATATGTTAAAAAATTAACTTATTAAATTAAATATAAGTTAAAGAGTTTTTCGTATATGCGCGTCATATATGTAGTTTTACCGGTTAAGGTTCAAATACTTTTTTTATGAAATTCTTCCTTAAAAAAGTATAAATAAATATATTTTTAAGTGTGGGTAACTTGAAGTTTAATCAGAATAAATTTCTCGATTTAAAACATCTATTTTATTTTAACATCTATTTTATTTTACCTGTCTTTTACCTGTACTTTTAACTGTGATATCTTTCTGTAGTGAACCGTTCCGTCATCATTGAAACATAGCTCCGAAATTTTTTAAATAACTGTTTCAGTAAATATTTTCAACTCTCTAAAAAAGTTTAATTCACCTTTCCTATGCAATGTCTCATTCATCAAATTGAAAAAAGGAAACTTCGCTTCTTCGAAACTTCAGATGTTTTGTTAGCTGCTTACTATCAGCACGAGAAATCCAAAAGAGGCCCTGACACGGAATATTCAGATAAGTAACATTCTGTTCTTTATACAATATATGTTTCTCTATCACTAGAGTGCAATTAAAATTTCTTTATTTATTATTTTTTCATAAGATTCTAGCATTATACAATAGTTAGTAATAGTAGCAAGTCATGTGGTTCTTTTCTTCGTAACTATTCCGTAGAGACGCCACATTCCTTATCAGTAGTCTCCGTTTCTTATCAGCAATTCACACCCTTCGGAGGCCCCCCCTCTTCGTGCTTAGGAATTTCTTGAGAGGGAAAAAATGGGGATCTCTTGACCATCGATGAGTATAGATTGTGATTTTTGTAACTAAGATCCCCGACCTTTTTTTTTTTTTCAGGTCTCAAACTTAGAATTATGAGCAAATAAAAATACAGTGTGACGGAATTTATTAAACTTGTACTATAATAAATTACAACTGTTAAATTAATAAATTAATTTTATATTTAACTAATATTTAAGAAAAATAAACTGTATAATTTATTTTTGCTGAAATGCTCTCACACTGTGTATGGATTTATGATTTTGTCAATTACTGTTTTTCTGAAATATACATGAATTTTTTGGGAACGGCAATAGTTAATGTTACTTTAGTTAAAATATTATGTACATCTCTGTGATGATATATGTCTTTTCTAGTTAGGTCTCAAGATTAGGGCATACACATTACCATGTAGGAATTCATTCATTTATTATTTTTTTTTATTAAACTTAGCTAAAGTTTGCTTCTTAAAGACACTAATTTTTGCAGATGAACTCCTTAACTACACTCATGGACACAATCGTATTTTTTAGGATATTTTCTACTTCTTTTCCTTTTCTTTTCTCTTAGGCCCTTTTTTTTTCCCTCTATTATTTCTGGGGGCCATTTATTTTAAATTTTATTTTGTCCCATCTTTTCTTTCTGGCCTTTTGAACTCGTAAAAAATGTACGAAGTTTCTTTTTACTCTCCTCAAATACGAAATTGCCCCCCTTTCTATATACCTTTCCTTCGCACCTATGCTTGATTTTTCGCCCATCGGTGCAGAAAGACTTAGCGGGTGCAAAACAAGACATCTGTCTACTTTGTCTGTCTGTCTGTCTGTCTGTCTGTTCCGTCATCATTTGTTGGTAACAGGAAAGTTTTGAGATATTTATGTGGATATTCAGAAATTTAAGCTGCAAAGCCACTTAGGTTATATTTATAATTTGTCTGAGTATTCAAATGTCTTGTTTTAAACTGCAGAATATATATTAGTTTATATCTGTACATATTTTCGTTAGGTGTGAAGTTGGACATTTAAATTTCATAATGATTGTCTTAACTATGATAGCGCGTATTGGTGATGGCTTAATTTTAACCGAATCTGTTCAACACGACGAAGAGGTAAGAGTTTTTTCTGTTGTTATATAATTATGATTATTGATATAAAATAACATCCATCTGTTTTTCTTTAATGTTTGAAATTAACTTCTAGGTTTCCCACCCTTTTTTTTTCCCCTTATAATTATAAACATAAGGGGATTTAGGAGTACTTTGCTTCTTCTCATGATGACTTTTACTGTATTCACAAATCATATTTTAAGTGGCTTAATTTACGCAAAAAATATCGATGTTTTTTAATTTAGCAAATGTTTATTCCTTGCTCAGACCTTTTTTTAGAAAGCAGTACTTATTATATTGTCCTGAATTATGTCTCAGCTACATTTATGTGTATTGCAATATATGGGAATTTAAATCTGTTCATAAAAAATACTGTTTCCAATGACATCAGAAATTGCATCATTGCCAGCTAATAGCCAACTAGTGATTAAACCTGCAATTAGTAATTAAAACTCTAATTAGTGCTTTAAAGATTTAAATTATGATTACATTTATATAAGAAGACTTGTGTATTTTCAATTTATTGAATTCTCACATTTTTCTCTCCCTCTCTCTCTCTCTCTCTCTATGTCGCTGTGTGACTTTATTGATAAAGTCAAAAAGCAATCAGTATTAATATATATATGAGAAATATTTTTGCATTTCTGTTTCTAAAAGTTAATGGTACTTTTTAACTATACACACCTGTATAAGATAAGGTTGTAATGAAAGTTTTCTGTTAAAAAAACGCTCTTAATAAAGTTAGAAAAAAAAAAAAAAAAAAACATGGAAGCAATACCTTTAGTGCAGTTAGTAATCACCACCCAAATCTATGATTTTCTGCCAATGTTTTGGTAGTTTTCCGAAGCCTTTGGCGCAGAAATTCGGTGGCCATGAGTCCAAAAACAGATCAACTTCATTTCAGATGTCCTGTGCAGAATGGAAGATAGCACCAGCAAGATGTAGCTGCAGGTTGAAAATAGGTAGAAGACTGAAGGAGTGATGTCAGAGCTGTATGGCGAGTGCGGCAAAAAAGCCCATTCAAGTCTATACAGAGTTCAGCTGGTGAATGCAAACACATGTGGTCTTGCATTATCTTGATGGAACATTACCTTTTTGCATAGGAATGAAATTTGATATTTTTCCTTGATAGCAGTGTTAACACAGACTAGCATTGCTGTGCAGCTTACTATCAAGGGTTTTACTTTTTTCCAGATACTCTTTGTGAATAATATGACGCCAATCCTACCAGATACAAAGCATGATCTTTTTATTAGTGAAATTGCACTGTGATATGCTGCCGATGAGCTCGGCAGTCGCAGACCAATTTCCGTTTCGGCCTCTGTTGTTAAAGTAAATGTACTTTTAATCACAAGTGATATTCTGGTCCAGAATTTTGTCCTTGCATTGATATTTGAGAAGATTAGTGCGGGCCCAAACACGTCTATCCTTATCTGCTTGAGTGAGCTCAATTGACACCCAGCGATTGAACTTGTACGTCAAGTTTATGCGATGCGTAGCGCGACTAATGGACATGGCATTAACGTGTGACTCCTTAGCAAGCTCTCGAGTGGTTGCATACTGATCTTCTTCCGCAAGTTCTCGCAGGCGGACCTCGTCAACATCAGTAGGTCGGCTAGAGCGCTGTGCTTCTCGAATGTCATAGTCCTTGGTTTTGAACTTTGGGATACCAAACCTTCACAGTGTGATATGATACAACATTAGTACCTAAACCTGTATACACAATTTGGTGATATTCTATAGCTGACTTTTTGGCAACAAAGCCGGAAGTAAATGATGGTTCTAATCTAATCTGGTAGCATGATAGTTCCATTTCAGACACCTTGTACTTAATGATAACAATATTTTTTTTACAAATTTCACAACACAGTGTTTTAAAGCAAATTGCTTTCTTTCAAATGCCAAAAACCACTTGACAAAATACAATTAAACACAGCAATTTGAACTGTTTGTGCAGATGATATTTATGGTGATGGGACATTTTCGTTAAAACCCTATATTTAAGAAATATATGTTTCATTTGTTTAAAAGTGAGGAAGATTCAGTATTTTATGAAAGAAATTGAAAACTCATTTTTCTTTCTTTCATTTTTTAGACAGGTAGAAATACTTATGAATACCACAGTCAGGCCAAATCCATTTTAAGGAAACTGAATGCTCAGTCTGTTCCTGTTTGTAGTATAGAAACTGGACCTTATTATTTCCAGTAAGTTTTGAGTCTCTCTTAGTTTTAACTCAAAGTGAAAGATAAGAATATAATTTTTTTTTAATTTGGATAATTTTATTTAATTGATTTCAGGTAATGTGTAAAGTTACTTTTTTCATTTAAAAATCTTTACATTAGTTAAAGCTTAGTTTTATTCAGTATTTTTTTGTGAGAGATATTTTAAATTTAAGAAATGTATTTTATTTGTTTAGATCCTTAAACTTCTTTTGATATTTATATGCTTTTGTATGGAGCCATTTTAAATGGTTGTGAACATATATATGCATTTACAATATCTAATTATACTTGCATGCATAATATACTATGAATAATATATTTGACTACTGTATTATGTACTATAAATGATGCTTACTTTATTTTGTACTGCAACGTTACTAATGATGTTTGCATGCAGGTTGTACTAGGACCGTATATTTTTTGGTGCTCCAGAAACATTTTATATTTCCTTATAATCTTGTGTATTCTCACATCTAAACAAGACATGTGAATATCAGGGCTTATGAAAAAGTATTATGTCTTGGGTTCCTGTTTGTCATAGCAGCTAATTCCTAATTATGGTTCTGCTGTTGCTTAGCTGCACGTACTTAAAGCAAAATTTCAGGTGTTATTATTGGAAGCTAAATGCATGATATCTGCTTGTTATTCTAGTTCATAATGTTTATATAGTAGAAAGTCCGAGATCCAGACTTGTCCACATTTGATTCCCCCCCCCCCTTTGTGCATAATAAAACATCTGGGAAGTCCCGATTCTTAATTTCATTTCAACACTAAGTAAAATACCTTGTTATTGAAGAAGCGATCATTTTAGCATGAATTCGTACGATCAGTAATTTGACTCCATTACCACACATCTCAAACTGAAACATTCCACATCAATACATCGTTGATCTGGTGCCAACCTGGCGAATCATTATTTATTATACTTTCCTTTCATCACTGCATGTTTATCAAAGCATGAAAACTTGAGTAATGACTCATGTAGCGATGACTAAAACAATTTTTTTTAACATTAGTAATGGAATAATAAAGGAGTATGGTAACCTTTTATGTTGACATTATGCTTGGCAATGATGACAGATTTAAGTTAAATGTGTTAAAAAATGTTCAAGAGGAAAAATTTACCAAACGTTTCTTTCCAGATGCTAAAAATAGATTTTGTTGTTGATACTCATATATCCAAAGATTAACATTTAGGGCTTTTTGAATTAAGAATAACTGATTTGTTATTCACGTAAACCCAGAACCAGTGCCAGGGCTCGTATGGCCGTACCGAGTCGCAGAATTTAGGAACCACAGAGACTGCATCAGGCTGTAAGATATCGAGCACCATTGACCCTCAGTAAGGCTTAAGTATATGGTTGGAATTTATTTATTCAGAACTCTGATAAGCCTTAAGCATGTGCAAGAAATAGACATAAGTATATTAAAATAAACTACAGTCAAAAGTCGTTAATTCGGACACCCATAATCCGGAATGATCTATAATCCGAACCTCAAAGCTACAAACTTTCTGCGCATGCGTCGCTGCGCGTAAGACCTTTACCGCTGCTAATTTGCGTGTGCGTATGCGCAAAATACGTTTACGAATACGTGTTTAATGTATAACGGACGGGATAAGCTAAGCTAAAATGATCTAATTATCTATTTCAGTTAATGTTGCAGATTGCGTTGTTCCTTAATCTTCGAATTGGATCCGGATTATTATTTTTTGCAGACTCTTAGAGCAATTTTATAAAAGTAAGCTTGAACTTTCGATTATGTCAAATAGAATTTCCGATATATATTTACTAATATGTAAAGGATCTACAAAGCGAAAGTATCTTCGGAGTCCATTAAACAAAAGTGGGAATTGCTGCAAAAAATGGATGAAGTTTACCTAAACTTTAAGGTTTGTTTATCTCTTTAACGCGGCGGCGGCGTGCATTGAATTGGAAGTTGATCTGTCAGCACTATCCTTATCTTAAGAGCAGATGTTTTTATTTTATTTGGCTTATAATTCTTACTCAATGTAGTATTTCATCGTCTTTGATATGATTTAAATCAAATGCCTCGTCATTATAATTCGCTTCCGATAGCGAAGAAGTAACAGAGGTTATTGAAAACGAAAAAATTTCGATTGACAATTAGTCGATTTCTCGACACAGCAATTATAGGACTTGAACAGCGGAACTTTTGTAACTGAACAGAAATTGTCTGTTTATAGAATTAAAAGATGTATTATAACAAAAAACGAAGCAACTTAAACAACTTACATTGAAAGAAATGTTTAATAAAGTAAACAAATAAATATTAAGCTCTTTTTTTTTGTAAATTTTGATACCCTTTAGATCATAATTGTTCTTTATTTCGTAAATTACGGTTTCATATTTTTAATTTTATAATTTCTGCATGCCATTTCCAGATTTAAACTGATGATCGATATCCGGAATCGCCGAAGTCCCGACGAGTCCGGATTCGACTTTTGACGTATACATCAAATTTAATTGTCTCATGCGGAATAGAAGCAAGATAAAATTTAATGTAGCAACTTGTTGTTAGTCGCCAAGCTCATGATGCATAGCCAAATATGATAGCTAAATTTGAATTTTAAAGGTTTTCAGGTATCGCAAAGCAAGAGTTAAATTTTCCAATTATTTGATTTTGTAAAGGAATGTGGAGAAGTGGTAATAAATGAAGAAGATAGAAAAGAAGCTTTTCATTGTGATGACAATGCTTCTCAATCATCAGTCAATCAATGAATGGCGAAATCTGTAGTAAGGTTCTAGATCCAGAAATACCACTATCCATAGTGAATAAAGTGACAGAGAAGTTGCTGAAAACGAGAATTTCGATTGAAAATTTAGGGGATTCTCGAAACAGCAGTTACAGGACTCACAATGTAACTAAACAGAGATTATGTCTGTCTACAGAATTAAAAAGAAGTATTAGCACAAAAACGAAGCAACTTATAACTTACATTGAAAAAAATGTTTAACAAGGTAAACAAATAAATAAACTTTTTTTTTGCAAATTTTCATACTTTTTAGATCATAAATTCTTCATTATTTCGTAATCACGATTTCATATTTTTAATTTTATAATTTCTACATGCTATTTTACTAGATTTAAACTAATGATCTAATAGCTTGTAAAATCCCAAATCTGGAATCGCTGAAGTCCCGACAAGTCTGGATTTCGGACTTTGTACTTTACTGAACTTTCAAATCTTGTTGATTTCTACAGGTTGTTCATGTAAGTTTAATAAATGCAATTTAGTGTTTTTTCTGATATGGTTATCTTCCAGAATATTTTCTCTTGCATAGATAACCAGTTTCCTCGGATTTCTTGCGTCGCTCATATGTAGACTGTCATGTGGTTTATTGTATGATATTTTATAACAGCCCTAAATGCTTCCTGAAAAAATATTTTTACTTTTTTTGGTACTTTTCCATTTCGCCGACACAAATCTTGCGAAGCAGACTTTATTGACGAAAACACACAGTATACACATAAAAAATGTTGACAAATGTCAGTTCTAAGAATTTTTTTATTTTGAAGGTATAACACATTTTAATGTTTTAAAATTTTATAAAAAGCCAATAAATAATACAATAAATTTGTAAAAACATTTAAGAATTTACTATGCTTTCATTGTACAACATCCTGATACGCCGGTTCATATCACGTGACCCCAAGTGATCTTATCTCACGTAAACTACATTACAAAATCTAATTCTCTCAGTAATTATCTACATTAATTTCAAGTTAAATCTTAATTTGGAATACAAATTTAAATGCAAGAATTATTTCAATTCGTACTAATAGTTCACTCATACTTTAAAACTGCTGTGCTTTACTTCGCTAGTGCATTCTAATTAGAATTGTTGAATTTAACCCTTGACTTTGCCTTTTCTATATTTTCACCATCGGGTGAGTGGTGTGATTGCATCCTAATTGACTTAATTACTGCCCACGAATAATAGCCTTAGGGCATAAAATTGAACTATCTGGTAAAAATTCTGTGTAATTGTATGCCAATATTGAAAAAAAAAAAAACAATCAGTTTGTTAAGAAACAGCTGCAACTTGTTTTGAAAATGTGAAAAGGTTACCAGCGAGGATATTTCATATGGATTTGCTGGCAACTTTATCACTTGCACCGGCAAAACAGAAAAGTACCCTTTTTACTTCCTTGTACGAAGTAAAAAAGAAGTATTGTAATCGTGAAAAGTTTCAGGCAGCACATTTCAACGAAAATATCCATTTTGACCGCTATCGAATGCAATTTAACGATGTTTTTGTGTGATACCTGTACGTAAGGACAGAATAAAATACTCTTTTCCTTCAAAAAAATTATAAAATATCTTTAAAATTAATTCTGAAGAGAATTTTTTGTGGCGTCTGTACAAACGCACGTACGTACGTATCTCGCATAACTAAAAAACGAGTAGCCTCAGAACTTTGAAATTTTGTATATAGGACTGCTATAACATGTAGATGTGCACCTCGTATTTTGGTTGCAATCGGCCACACCAAACGATATAATATATTTATATATATATCCACTCTGTTACCCCGGCTCGGTGATCTCAGTTTCTTTACTCTATATGTTGGTAAATTGTACATTTTTTGCTTTAAAAATGATTGAATTATGTTGTTTCTATCTTCCGGTTAAGGATTTTATGCCTTTAGTAAATCTGTGTACAATATTTTTAGAATTATCAGCAGTTTTAAAGTTGTTTAATTGCCGCTAAGCCTTTTTTAATGGCGGCCATTGATGTTTACATTTGAAACAGGAGACTACTGGATTTGTTGCCAATCTAGAGAAACTTAGCTTCGCAACAACAAAGATAACGTCTTCATTTATTATTTAAAATCATGCTTAATCCTTTCTGGAATTTTTTCGAGGAAATAAGCGTTTTATTTACTTCGTAATTTTTAATATAGATATTTTGAGTTTTTGTATTTTTTTTGCCTTCTCGTGAAGTGAGATCTGAATTAATTGAATGAGAAATACTCAGTCGTCTGTGAAAAACTGTTTCTTTTTTGTTTTGTTTACTTAATTTCTTTTATACATCATTCTAGCTTTATTATAGTATTTGAATAGAACATGTGGCAACGATTAGGTAATTCCATTCTTTAAATGATGTAAATTTTGTGCATTATGAGTTATAATATGAATGAAACATAATACTGAAGGGAGTCATCATTTTTGCGCAACACAAAAAGTGAGAATTTTAGCTGATTTTCGAGTTATAAGTCGAATTGTTTTTGTCATACATATATGAAATTTTCAGTGTGTCATCTTTATACATAGATGATTATCTTTATTTATTTTACTTAATAGTGTATAAGAATTTGTTTTATAAAAAAAAAAAGAAAACTAACTGTATTTTCTGAAAATTTAAAATGTGTACTGAAGCACTGCGCGCAAACTGACAGTAACACAAATTTAGTTACAGTAATAATTTTTAAGTGAATCTAGCGCCAGAGTGTTGCTATGGTAAACAAATACTAGAGTGAATTTTAAAGAATGCATTTATTCTATTGTGGTTTATGCGCTGTCGGTGAAGTAGATTTAATTCAATCCAATAAGTTTAAATGAAATGCAAGAAAAATGTGTATAATTTAATATTCCGTACAAGAAAGTCATGTGGTGTACACATCAGATTTTTTTTGTTTTGAATCTATGAAATGTCTAATCTGTCTATTTCTTCTAGTCTTAACCATGTATTTTGAAGAATTTATTATGGATATATTTCATCCTTGTGGCTTTAATCCCTCTTTTTGCAGGTTTCTTCTTTTAAATGACAGTTTGAATGATTTTGAAGTGAATATACTCTTAATTAGATAAGTTCAATATATTATCTCAGATTTTTACGTTTTGTTTTGGTTGTATTTTTCTTTTTATTTGTTTTTATTGCCAAAAAATTAAGTGGTAACAAGTTTTTCGGTGGATCTTTGGATTATGGTAACTTGGCGATTTTTTGGCGAAAATTTGGCAACCAACTCTGCTACAGCAACACTCTATTTTTTTTTTTTTTTATTTTTTTTTATTTTTTTTTTTATTTTTTTTTTTTTTTTTTTTTTTTTTTTTTTTTTTTTTTTTTTTTTTTTTTGCCGCCATTTTGTCTTCACGAAGTAAAGACATGTTTCTTTTTTTTTTATTTACTGAACACTTTTTCCAACAATCTACTAGCCAAATTACACTTGTACTAGAAATTTTATCTAACAATACTGCTTAATCATGACAAATATTCACTGCAAAATTGGGATAAAGTGCACAATTGCAAACTCCTTGCACGTTTTTCACAATAACACATGCACATAAACCATGTACACGTCGACTTATTTTTACTTAAAAAAACATCCCAGAATTGCACCAAAATGACATTGCGCACACTCTTAACTATATCCATGTACACTGCTTTTTTCTCATAAATTAGAAAAATTTCACGAAAATGCATGACAATTTTCTGAATCTTTAAACCCGGTAAAAAGAACATATATGAAATTACCTTATCGCGAAAAAAAGTATATACCCTTTCCAAATATGAAACATTTCCACGTATAAAATAAATAAAATCTAAAAACTTTTACCTCTAAATTATATCTAGTATATTATAACGTCACCAACGAATTCCTACCGCAAACATTACAAATACTTAGTGTCAAATATTTAAATTATTTCCATGCACGTTTACTTCAACTAAAAGGTATACCAAATTCCTACAAACATAAAATCACAAAATAACTATCATTTAATTAAAATATCACTAAATCATGTACACGTCGACTTATTTTTACTTAAAAAAACATCCCAGAATTGCACCAAAATGGCATTGTGCACGCGCTGCACTATATCCATGTACACTGCTTTTTTCTCATAAATTAGAAAAATTTCACGAAAATGCATGACAATTTTCTGAATCTTTAAATCCGGTAAAAAGAACATATATGAAATTACCTTATCGCGAAAAAGTATATACCCTTTCCAAATATGAACATTTTCACGTATAAAATAAATAAAATATCCAGAAACTTTTACCTCTAAATTATCTATTATATTATAAACGTCACCAACGAATTCATACCGCAAACATTACAAAGACTTAGTGTCAAATATTTAAATTTCCATGCACGTTTACTTCAACTAAAACGTATACCAAATTCCTACAAACATAAATTCACAAAAGAACTATCGTTTAATTAAAATATCACTAATCCATGTACACGTCGACTTATTTTTACTTAAAAAAACATCCCAGAATTGCACAAAAATGGCATTGTGCACACTCTTCACTATATCCATGTACACTGCTTTTTTCTCATAAATTAGAAAAATTTCACAAAAATGCAGGAAAATACTCAACGTATACTACTCAAACATATTCCAAAATACTACAAACATATAACTCACAAAATCACGATCATTAAATTAAAATATAATTAAATTAAAAAACACTACCTAAAATATAAATAAGCACATACATTAAATTAATAAAATAATAAAATTAAATACTCAACGTATCTACTCTCAAACATATTCCAAAATACTACAAACATATAACTCACAAAATCAACGATCATTAAAAATTAAAATATAATTAAAATTAAAAAACACTACTTAAAATAAAATAAGCACATACATTAAATTAATAAATTAGATTACAATCCTAATTACTTTAAACTAAATCATTGCTAATAACAGTTTTCAAATAATACCATTTTAATTTATTTACTCCTTACATTTAGAACAATGCATAAAAATATTATTAATTTCACGCTGCTATGCGGGGGGGGGATGTCGTGGCACGCAATGAACTGGAAGTTGATCTGTCAGCACTATCCCGTGGCGTAGCTAGGGTGGGGCAAGGGGGAACATCTGTCCCCAGGCGCACCATCCAAGGGGCACCAAATTGATGCTATGAAATTTTTTAATGAAATGTTTTCCATTCTTGGCACACAGAAAGGGGCGCAAATTCTTCAGTTGTCCCCGGCCGCTGGAAACTCTAGCTATATGCCCCTGGCACTATCCTTATCTTCAGGGCAGACGTTTTTATTTTATTCGCCTCATAATTCCTTACTAAATGTAGTATTTCATCTCGATGTACTTCGTCTTTGATATGATTTAAATCAAATTCCTTGTCATTATAAATATCACAAATACACATCACATCACATCACATAGTTTTCTGGTTGCAATTTTCTAATTTCGACTATGTGTAATGTATGCTTTACGCATGCACGCGTTGAAAGAAATGTTTAATAAAGTAAATAAATAAATACTAAGCCTTTTTTTTTTTTTTTTTTTTTTTTTTTTTGTAAATTTTGATACCGTTTAGTGCTCTTTATTTCACAAATTACATTTTCATATTTTTAATTTTGTAATTTCTGCATGCCATCTTAGAAAATTTAAACTGATGATCTATAATCTGGAAAAACCGATAATCCGGAATCGCCGAAGTCCCGACGAGTTCGGATTAAAGACTTTTGACTGTATTACCTACATTTAAAATTTAATATGAAATTTACATATTTGTATCGGTAAATGAAACTATGTTAATACTACTATAAAAAAATTGTGTTCATTTTTCATTCACGTTTAATAATATTTCAATAAGTCAATACGTTAATGGGTAAGTAATAATTCTAAGAAAATAAAACTGTTTAAAAAAAAAAAAAAAAAACCTCTAAAAATTTCATATTTACTGAGTACGTATTGTGATGTATAAATGCATTTAAACTTACTTCTAATGCTTTTAAATACATTCAAGAATATTCTCAATATTAATTTATTTTTGATTTTCTCTTCAATATAACTTATCATTGCATAAATGTTTCAAAGTTGCATCTGTTCCATTTTGTACTCAGAGATTTTTCTTCAAGGCTCTCTGCATTTTGAAAAAAACAGTATTATGCTATTACAATTTCTTATTTTTCATCTCTATAGCCGTGAGATCATTAATAACTGTCAGATATTTTTCATATTCTGAATCTTTATTTTAAAATTAATTTCAGTCACTGTGTAAAGTAAAGGAGATTTTGTTGAAAGCAAGACAGTTTACGGTGAGTTAAGCAAATATCTGTTTTAAGATCTCAAATTAGAATTTTTTTCCCTAGTTTTAAATTAAATAAAATCTTAAGAAATATTGAGTGATCACAAAAGTCAACTTATCCATGGACTGAGATGGCAAAGTTTTAATGCATTTTGGCAACTATCCAACAAATTTAGTTGTGTTGTACCATCATTCATCATCAATGTCACTGTTTTGTACCATAAAATATCAGAACTGTAACCGTAAAAACTGAAAACTGCTTCTGTAGATTATGATTGTTGCTGATGTATGCTATGTTGAAAATTTATAAATTTATATGTGATCTCAAGTACATGGAAAATTATATTATTCTGATTATTATATTTTGCATGAATAAATTAAATTTAGTTAATATTTATCATTTCAGCTATTTAATTCATGATAATGTGTGCTATCTTGCATTGTGTGAGAAAGCATTTTCCAAGCGATTAGCCTTTGCATATTTGGAAGATCTAAAAAATGAATTTAGTACACATTATGGGAAAATGGTGGCAACTGCGCTTAGGCCTTATAGTTGTATTGAATTTGGTAAGTGTAATTCAAGAAATTTTCATATTAATTATCTACATTTGAATGTAAGTAATGTGTTCTGTAGTAAAGCCAAACATTTTGCGTTTGGTAAAATATCTTAAATCGTTCCAATGTTTTGAATCAGTCAGAATTTTAATTTTTCTGTTTTGCAGGATAAGTTATCTACTTTCCTTCTGGAAAATTAATGTTTATAATAATCATTAGCATTTCAATCATTATAAATCATTAGTGTTAATTTAATGTGGAGTGCATTTAGAGTTTTCAGATGAAAATAAAACTTTTAGAGGTCAATGTAATGTTTGCACGTAAAACCTCAGGGTTTAAAAGTAGACCATAACAAGAACTCATTGGTGACAAGCAGTATTTTTGCTAATTTCCTTTTGAAATGGAACAGAGAACTGAAATGGATAAAAAAGTTTTACGTAACTGTGCTGCACACACTTCTGCGTATTCTGAAAAACATTTAACTGATGTTTCTTCCTTCAAATATGACTTCTTAAAACAAAAGCTTTCAAATGTCATTACAGAAAGGTGTCACCCCCCCCCCCCAAAAAAAAAGAAACAGAAACTTGAGAAAATACAAGCATTTCAGAGGAGAATAATATCTTTGCATATTATAGTCAGTGCATGGGGAGTAGTCTCCCAAAACATGCTTAGAAATTTGATATTCTTTAGAAGAAACCACAGAAGAATTGCAAGTTATTTCTAATATTCCGTACATCAGTGAGGGAAATTATGAAGAATTATGGGTTTTTAGAATGTGTTGCAATTGATGATAATATTCAGATAGCATGTGAAAATACTGGCTACAGTATTGTAGAAAGTGTTAAAAGAGTTGCAGAAGCTGACATTAAAAGTGATAAGAAGAAAGTGACTACATGCCACCCTCATTTGAATTGCGAAAAGCACTACAAGTATTAAGTGGAACTCTTGAATTGAAAGGTGCAAATACAGATGGAGTAGTTTCATCGGGTATGTAATTATAACATTTTTGTATTAAAAAAAATAAAAAAATGAATTTTGAAAATTTGCAAATAGTTTAATTTCAGCATTAATTTTTATATATTAATTATTAAAGTTATATGATATTTCTCCTGCCTTCTTAGCATGCCTTCATGGTATAGTGATCAGCACGCTCGAAGCGTATTCGAGAGGTCCAAGGTTCGAGTTCTGGCGAGGACATTGCTCATTTTTCATGTTTCCTGTTTCTCAAAAATATCCTAATGTCTCTACAGTGGCACCCAAACTAAAAAAGATGGTGGATGATGATTCTTCACCACCAGGATTTGGCCATTGGGTCCCCTAATCCCCAGTCGCCGTTTAAAAGGGGGCAGTATATAAGGTATTTCTTCCACCTTTTTAGCATGCCTTCATGGGTTAGTGGTCAGCATGCTCGACGCGTATTCGAGAGGTCCAGTGGTTTGAGTCCCGGCAAGGGATTGCTCGTTTTTCACGACTCCTGCTTCTAAATATATAATGTCTCTACAGCGTGATTGTTAGTTGCTGTCTTTCTAATTTGGTATCAGAATTTGCAGTATTGAAATTGCCATCTATTAAATGCAAACAACTCAAATAAATAAACTATAACAATAAATTAATAAACTCAAATATGTTAGGAATAGAAGTGATTTTAATATCTGCAAGTACTGAAAAATTTTTCAGAATCTTCTTCTAAAAAGCTGGGGGGGGGATACTAAAGTAGAGGTGTTTTTGAAAGTTATTATTGAGTTTCTGTAGCAATGATCAGTATTGCTTTCGTTTCCTGGTTCTGTTTTTCTGAAATGGACTTGAATTTAAAAACTTTTGGGCAAAAGTATTCTGTAGTGACTGTAGCAGTTTGCCATTAGATAGAAGTAAACTGTTTGAATTTTTAGCATAAATGGCTTAATGCTGATAAAAGAAGAATACTTTTTAAATTGCTGTTCAACAAATAGTTTTTTTTTTAATGAAACATGTATTGCTAAGAAGCATTGTAAAAAAATGTTGATACATTTAGCCGTGAAACACTGGAAACATAACTGCCTTTTCTTATCATGTGAAAATCTCAAAAGTTTCCTGTTTTAAAAGTGTCAAATCTTTGCCTGTATTTTTATAAAAAAACAAAGGAAGTTCAGAAAGATAGATAAAATATGATATCTGTCAAGAGTAGGTGTTAGATTTACCCCTCTCCCCCCAAAAAAAAAAAGGAAAATCAGTCTAATACTCTCTGATAGTCACTTTGCACGTTTCAAGCACTGGAAGAAGCTTGAACTCTGTAAAAACTGAATTTTGTTTTACAAATATTAAGTGATTTGGCAACCTGTGAATCCATAGCTCTGAAGGTTGAAGGGCCTGTGAATTCATAGCTTTGAAAATGTCCAATCAGTAAAAAATGAAATTTTTTGCAACAGAAACATGGTATATAATGTGTGTACATGTAATCATAATATGTGTAAATGTAAACATGGTTTATCTATTAATTTCTCGACTGTTAAAATATTTCTTTTTTTGGCTATGAATATTTTGTTTATGCTATTTATCACAACTGAAATTTTTTAATTTATTCCTCAGATACCTATATGCAAAAGGCCAAAAAATCATATTCTGATAATCGAGCGAGACGTAATCTTACAAATCTAAATTCAGAACTGCAAGATGTGCAGCGGATTATGGTTCAAAACATTGATGATGTTTTGCAGCGAGGTGCTGCTCTTTCAGGTAAAATGATAGTCTTTATTTAATTGGAAATATGTATATTTATTTGAAAGTAAAATGTTCTGTATTAAAAAGTAAGTTAATGTGATGTCTGCAAATGTTTTATGTGCAAGCGTTAGAAAATATTCAGACAAAATATTGTTAACAGCATATGTGCAAAAGTGTTGTATATAGAATTATGGTATAAATAACATCTTTTATTACTTGATATCTAGTGCATCCAGTATACAAATTTTTTACAATGCTTAAATTTAGATTTTTGAAGCTGACCTTTTAATAAGAATATTTATTTTTTTCATAAAAATATTTTAATATGTATTCAGTATAAGTAATTTTATTAGAGACGTATAAATTTTAAAAATCAGACTTAGATTAAAAATTAGACATTAATATAATTTTCTGGATTTACATTTCATTTTCTATACTCTTTTTATTTTGAAAATAGTGCAAAAGTACCAGTTTTCACAACTCATTTCCATGCACAATAAGAAAAATTGGTTCTTACATATTATTCCATTGACTGAGAAAGTTGCATATAATCAAACCATGAAAGCTGGTGGAGATCTCACCTAATGTGCACCAAATCATTTCTGAGGAATGCTGAAGGAACTGACCCCACCTTATTTGAAAAATAATCAGTATTTGATCTGCTTTGTTTTTGTACTTCATAGAAAAAAAAAAGTTTTTTGGAATTTTAGTCATTTCTTTTAAAAATGCAAGGGAAAAATACACCAATAACAGTTAATTTATATCCTTACTCATAAAAACAAAAGTTGGCTTATCAAGAATCAGTCAGGGCTATATCAAACAAAGCATAAATGTTATGAGTGTGCTGTTACTTCATGCTTATTCATAATTGGCCCTAAATACTAATTACTGCTTCGTGACAGTTTCAAAGCCAATCGGATAGTACATAAGTACTGAAAAGTCAACTGGATTTTGATTGCTTAAAATGCATTTGAAGCATCTGGTAAAATGCTACAATGAGTCACATTCTAAATAATTAGTTAAGCAAAAGATGAATCTTTTGTCAGACTGTTGATCTTTTTGTTTGTTGATCTTTTTTGAATACATTTGATTATTACATATAATTTTCTTGAGAATTTATAAATGCAGAAAAATTACAAAATATTTTTTTTTGTTTGTTTGTCCTTAATTTTTCTAATAATTGCTTTGAATGCACTGTATATTCATGAATTTAAAGAGCTAATATTTTTTTCCTCTCAGAGGTACTAATCTCCAGAGGTACTGCTGTCTTTATGTCTAGAGTGGAATCTTTTTTTTTTTTTTTTTTTTTTTTTTTTTTGGCACCATCTGAATCTAGATATGAAAGGGGGGAAAAAACCACCTTTGATTTTTTTTTTCCCTGTATTGCCACAATTTTTTTATTCAAAGTGGAGCACTATAATGATGTTTAGTTTTAAATATAGAGAAATTGCTATCAAAAAGGGTAAAAGCTTGCATTTGGAAATGATTGTCTGGTTTGTGTAAAAGTGTTATGATACATAGGTATAGAAGGTCACTATCAGCAGAGTCACTGCTGCAATTCAGAAAAGTGTCTTATAAATAGCATGTAATTCAGAAAAGTGTCCTTCTATAAATAGCATGAATGTGAATGTCATATTTGCATGCCTGTTTGTGTTAGTTTATGATATATATGTAATATTTTATGTAACATATTTGTTAAAGGGAAACTATGTACAAAATTGGTTCTTTCTCTTGACATTGAGGAAGAAAGAGGGAAATGGGAATGAATAATTTAATTGAATGACCAACACCAGTTCCTATTTTTTAAAAAAGCATTAGCATAGGGAATGAATTTTGGCATTTTAATACAATTTATCGACTAAACACTAAAGTTCTGAGTGGCAAATGCAGGGGAGAATAGATAGTCTGGTCCAGTTTGTAAGGAGCAGAAATAAAAAATAAAGATAATGATGGTTGCAATTTCCTTTGAATTGTAAGAAGTCATCCATTGAGAATTCATTCCATGGAGCCAGGTTGCTGATAAGTAAATCTGTGTTAACTGTCTTTCAGCATTTCTCATATTCTTGAATATCTAGACCTGTCAAATATAGGAATGTTATTTGGTGTTTTATTATAAAACATAATGCTTGCAATATAAGCTTTGCAAATCATCTTGGAGCTTCTGATGGTGCGCTACTTGTGTGATCACATTGTGACTAGTATTTTAAAGTGAATGTAAAGCGAAATGTAGCATTTTCCTTTTGGTCCTTACTGAATTAGTAACATCATTTCTACCACAGTTCATTTGCTCAAAGAGTTGAGTAGTATATAACCATGGTCTTGAGCTCAGATGTTTAGGTTTTCGAGTAACTTTTGAGCTCTTCCCTAGAGTTGTCTGTCTGATTATTGTTTCTACACCTGAGCATGAGTATGATGAACAAGGCATTTATGTCTGAATATAAGCTACAAATTGTGAACAAGCATAGTGTTCAATGCATGTGATAGAAATACCAACAATTATGACAAAATTTGCATAGATCCATGTTTGTGTCAAAACAGTGTTTTTTATAATCAGTTTTTATAATTGATAATTATTTCTTTTTAATACATTTTTATGTGTCAATTCATAGGAATTAGAGGATCAAGTGCAACTTTGTTATTGGCTGTTTTCTTATGTTTATTTTGTTATAAATTTAGATTTTATAATTTTCATAATTTTTGACTAAAAATGACTAGAAATTTTTTTAAATTCAATTAAGCATCTTAATTTTGGTGCATATAAATTTGCATGTATAATCTAGGAAATTTCATTCTAAAACAAAAAGATCTTGTTATGGACTTTATTTGTATCTCGTACTAATTTAATCATTGTACTAGGATATTTTATATGAATTTAAAGTATGTATAAACGTATGACATTTAGGTCTTTTAACCTAATGTTCCCTAAGTTAAACACAGAAATATGATATAGAGTAACTCAAATTTTCATATCAGTGTTAGTTGTACTTCTCAATCTGTATTAGGTTACATAAATATGTTTGAATTGTATACTCTGTACCACATTAAAGAAATGTAATGCAATAGGATGTATTGTGTTACTGACACTACATTATTACAAGTATTCAAATCGATGCATAGGCATTTTTATAAGTATATTTTTGTTTTGGCATTTCAAGGTCAGTTTTATTACCTGTTGAATGACCCTCATAGCTGTAACTATTAGCCCAGTATGAACATTTATTAACCCTCTGATTGCTCAATTTGTGGACGAAATCACTTCAAAAATTGTGTAATTTTGTTTTTGTATATTTTCTTATTATTTTTGTATTTATATTATGCATTTTTTCTTTCTAGAAAATATTTTTTTATATAGATTTTTATCATGAGAAACTAAGTTGCTAGAAAAACCAATCTCAGATGTTATCACTCCCCAAAAATTTTTTTAAATAAATTTCAGTTGAATTAAAGTTAATTTACATTTATTGCATAATATAAAAAAGTAAAATATATAAAATTTAAGAAAATATAAAGCACTGAGGAAAAATATCTTAGAAATGCAGTTTAATATGATAGAGTTCAAAACAGGTTTCAAGGCAACTACTAATTATTAATCTAATTAATAATTCAATAATTTAATTAAATAATCAAGATAATCGCTGAATGTTTTCTAGCAGCCATTTCTGTAAGAAAAAAGTGGCAAAAAGTGGAGTGTGAATGGTAATACTACATGCCTTCAAACGCTGCAATTTAGTGGACAACTAACGATATCTGTTGGCCAAAGCATAAACTAAATGTCTGATACTGTATATAATTTATTTCAGTGGTTAAACGGGGCAAAAACTGAATGTGCTGCTTAATGAAGGAAGAAAAACACATGCCCTCTGAAATCGCAGGATGAGCAGATTTTGCTACATTTGAGTTGCCCGTGGAAGTCGCCGAATGAGCAGCTAGAGGGTTAACAGTGAAAATAATTATGAGAGACAATATTTTGCTGAAATAAAGTTTAAACAGCTGTTAACTATTAGCCTAGTATGGACATTTATTAACAGTGAGAAAATTCTGATAGACAATATTTTGCTGAAGTAAAATTTTAAATTGACAAGTTTAATTTTTAATATAGTTCTTTTGCTTTTATTTCAGAATTAGATTCCAAAGCAAGCAATCTCTCCCTCTTGTCTGAGAAGTACAAAAAAGATGCTCATTTCTTGAATATTAGTTCTGCCTATACGAAATTAGCTGCCGCAGCAACTGTGGTCTTTGTTGTATTTTTATATTTTTGGATATTGTAAAATTATGCCTTTAATATAACATATAATAAATATATTGTGATCATTTGAAAGATTGAAAGGAATATTTGCATGCAAAATATGACTTAAAATCTTTTCAGTATTTGCTTGGCCACTGTTTTATTTTTCAGATACTAAAATTTCATATGTTAGAAGTAACTGTCTAACATGTAATTTTTGTGTGTATATGATTCTAAAATTATAACCAGTATTCCAGTGTTTAAAGTTTTTTATATTTAAATTTTTTTGCATGCAAATATTCCTTTTTTTTTTTTTCTTCTTAACAAATCTCTGCTTATTTAGACACCTTTCCTAATCATCTGGTATGTTTAGAAAGGTTGTATCTATAAAAAAATATTTTGTAATTTCTGTATTACGAAGACAAACTATGGACCGTTTAAATAGATAATTTTCTTTGTATTATGGCACTGGTAGCTTTTATTGTTTGTGTTGAAGATATGCTGTATTATCTTTTGTATTCTTCAGAGATGTATGTACTGTTTGAATTTTATTCTTCTTCATAATAAAAGTATTCTAAAATCAGTTTTCTTATGAGATCTTTAACATCTGTTGAATTTTGAAGTGAACTTTATAGTTGTTTCTTATGAGGTCTTTAACATCTGTTAAGTTTGAAAGTGACTTTATAGTTGATCTGTTGAATAGTTACCTCATGCATTTGCATGCTTCAGAGTATAGTTTCCCACTCTAGATCTTATTGCTCATCAGTAGCCAATTAGAGAACCTAGTGGAGCATTACTGGTTCAGACCGTAATAAGGAACATTAAAAAGATTGTGCTTAAAAATTTGCATACCTCAACACTTTTGAAATAATATTTAAACATTGACTTAATTGTATAATTATTACAGTAATGCAACCTTACAACAATTGCATTAAATCATATCAGTTAATTCTTTACATTGCTGGTCTAAGTTTTTGTGTAGGTTCATTTTTCTATTTCAAAGGATTGAAGTTTATGAAATGTTATTACTAATATTCTAAAAGCATAAGCACTATATGATGTCTTCTGATATCCAATATGCTATAATAATAAGTTCTTTCAATATATACCATTTTTATGTTTTAATAAGAAACCACGTGTGCTTTGTCAGGTTTATAAATACACTTTGTAACTCTTTACTAATCATTTGTTACATTCTGCTTTGCATTATAAGTCTTATATAATATTTTAATGAAAATGCTATAGATACCTAAAATTTTTTAATTGAATCTAAACATTAAAGAGCCTTAAAAAGGTATCTTGTGAACCAAAAAAGAATAGTTTCAAAACTTTGCTGTAGAGAAAAGCATACTGAAAAATATGTATAAGTGAAGTGAAAAATAGAAAATCTGCTTGAAGTCTGTTGTAATTGCTAAACTGTCAATAAGGGTTCTTGTCTCTGTGCCATCTACAGCTGCCATTCAGTTTCATCAGAAGGAAAATTTAATTTCAGTGTTCAAATATTTTTTAGGTCCAGTGCAGGTCTACCAATGACTAAGTGACAAGATCACTGAATACTGGTAGTTTGACGAAGATTAAAGTTTCATTGACAAGGGTGGGTGCATGAGAGTTTTCCTTCCTGTGTGTAATGTGAATATGAGCCACTTTTCCCTAGAAAGTCCTCTATGAAAACATCCCTTTCCTTAGGCAGATAGGTTTTATCATAATCAAGTAATTCAATCTTTAGGTCATAGTATGCTTTGCCTTCGTTCATTATTGTGAATATCCATGCAACCATAGTTAAGTAAAATCAAATATCTAGGGCATTTAATTATCATTATTCCAGAATGATCTGATTTTCGTTCTGCTTAAAACATGGTTTATTTTATATGCACAAATGTATTTGCAGTACACAGTGCCATTTAACTTTTATAGGTGTTTCATGATCTTTATGAAAACTTTGTTTTTGTGGTCTTATATGAAAAGTTTTCTATGAATTTTATAATTTATTTAAAGGTGCCAAAAATTGTGCTAGCTTAGTAGTTGCCAAATTTGTATTTAAAGTGCATACTTTTGTCACATTCAAATTAGAATATGAAATACATGAAATGGGAAAAGCAAGTTTTTCCTTTTTTGGAATAGGAATTCCCCCTCCTTCATTTTTGTGTCTCAAAATTTGTATGACTTATTAGCATTTTGGAAATTTTAAAATAATTTTGTCTGCAAAAATGGTAATTTTGCACATTTCATGATGATTTTTTAACAGATATAAGAATATTAAATTATAATTAATGTATTAAAATTACATTTTTAGAAAAGCAATATAATAAAAAATTTTTATTTACCTTATTTAAAATATAGTTATCTTTTTTTTGTGGCAATCTTTGAATATCTTGATGCTGAAAGTGAAATAAGGTAGTGAACAGTTTCAGTGGTTTTTGATGCAACTCTAATTTATTAAAATTAATTTCATTTGTCTACTTTTCCATTTTTATCACAAGCATTTTTCTCCTATCTAATTGTTTCAAAATATTCTGACCTATCACTTTTCTCTGTAAAATTCACAATACTGTTCTTCTGTATTTTTCCCATATATATTCTAATTTTTCTCTTCTGTAGTTCAGAGACATACTAAAGGGGGCAAGGCGAACAGCTATCTCAAAATGTTGTATCCAGGGGACCCCAAATCGGTTTTATGAAATTTTAGAACGAAAAGATTACCATTTCTTGGCAAGCAGGAGGGGCATGAAATCTTCAGTTGTTTCTGAGCAGTGAAAACCCTAGCTACAGCTCTGACATAACTGAAAGTTATGCACATAGTCTAATATCATTTAAACCATTATTCTTAGATGCTGGGCATTTTCTTCAAAGCCTGGTAATTTCTTATCGTAACACAAAGAGAAGTGAGCCTTTTTGATGGTCTCTTGACATCATTCCACTTTGATGATAAATTTCAATTTCTATCATGCCATTTCAGTTACTTTTCAATAAACTGCATGGAATACACAAAACTGTAATTTAGGCTGTGAGTAAAGTTGTCTCTTGACTAATTTAATTCTTAAGCACATTTAAAGAATGCTGAGTTAAGCTATGATGTTTAATAAGTTAGTTCTGCTGGTTACACTTGATGATATTTCCAAAATTTGCTGGGTTTATCAAGATATAACTTTGTAGTGGGATGAGCATTTGCATTTAGCTAAAATAAAATGCATATTAACTCATAATTCTAGTCAGAATAAAGATAGAGCACATGATCTTGGTTTCAAGATATAGATTTTTAAATAAAAAAGGCATTTTTAAAAAAAAAAATTGGACTATTATGAAGTACATGCAAAAGTTATTTCAAAACATATAGTTAATGTTACTGTGTGTATTTAACTGTGTGTAGTTAGTGCATTTAGCTAAAATAAAATGTACTATATAATTAACTCTCTATATAATTAATTCTAGTCAGAATAAAGATAGAACACATGGTCTTTGTTTCAAGATATAGATTTTTAAATAAAAAAGGCATTTTTTTTAAAAAATTAGACTATTATGAAGTACATGTGAAAAGTTATTTCAAAACATTGTGATACGGTCACATAAAGGAAGAAGAAACTGAAGATTAATATGGACAAGGATGTCTCGAGAGCATAAAATGAATATTATTATTATTTAACTTCTGAATACATTTTCAATAGTTATTAAGTTGAATTAATTGTTTAAAAAAGAATAGTAATATGTTGGCATTGTTTCAAACGCAGGCTCGAGAGCCGTGTAGTGCTCTCCCACTTAAAATGTAGAGAATTTGAATTTGTTTAAATAGAGATAGGTTTTTCTCTTGCTGATTGTAATGTAGCCTTTTTTTTTTTTTTTTTTAAAGCGTTCAATAAAATTTTTATGCTGTGTTCCTTTCAACCTGATTCACAACCCAGGGTTTGCATACTGGTTTCAGCCACTACACCACAGCAGTAAATATTAAAATTGGTGGCAGCATTTAGGGATTGTTCCTGAGAGTAAATTTAGGAACGGACTTCTGCACAAGAACAATCTAATTTTGCGTGCAAGGACAGTTCGCACGGTGAAGCCTCTTTAGAAGGAAACGCCGGAAGAAGCGTGATCTAGTGCCGCAAAATAGTGAAATTAACCGGAAGAGTTGGAGTATCCAAGTTAGTGTTAGGAGAGTCTCAAAGGCATCTTCAAAATTGGTGAGTACCATTTTTGTGATTTTGGAGAAGTTATGCTAGTTATTCGAGACTAGGTTTATTTTGGATATAGCTCTGTTTTTGAGGATCAGAAGTTTTCTTGTGGTTATTGAAAGTTAGTCTTGTGGTTACCTATGCTAACTGGAATTTAACTGTTTAAATTGTATGAAGTATTGTAACGGTATGCTTTAGAAAAAAATTATTTTTTAAATCAGTCCAGAGTTAGAGGACAATATTTATATAGTTGAGATAGAGCAGGAAAAGGTTTCCTTTTAATTAGCATTTTTGATATACGTTTTGTATGTAGGCATAGGTATTATCATTTAGTGTTGTAAGGCAATTAGTGTTCAGAACTGTTACAGCATTATTCAGTTTTGGAGAGACAGACCTGTTGTTGTATTTTGGGGTAGATTATTTTTCTTTAATTTTCCATAATGGGTGAGTTTATGAGAAAATTTACTAAAACTTTGCTATTAGAGTTAGCAGAGGAGTTTGATACAAATGTGTCTCAGGCAAATAGAGTAAGAGAAATTAGGCAGGATATTCTAAATGCTGAGGACTATGAAGAAGAAGCGGCAAAAGAGTACATGGCAAGAATTTGGGCTGCGGCTGAGCAGAGAAAAGCAGAAGAAATAGCCGAACAAGAGAGAGCAGAACGGGAATGGGAACAAGAGAGAGTGGAACGGGAGCGAGTTTTTGAGTTGTAAAAGTTAAAACTGATGAATGTGGTTGAGACTAATAACCTAGCTTCCACGGTTTCAACAGTTGAACAATCTAGAGAAAAAAAGGTTAATTTGAAAGATCTAGTACCGCGTTTTGAACTGAGTAATATGGATATTTCATTATTGTTTATGCTATTTGAGAAACAAGCTCAAAAAGAGAACGTTAAGGATATTAATTGGGTCTCGCAATTAATTCCTTTATTATCTCACGATGTAACCCAGTTAATAGTGAAAGAACCAGAGGATAAAGGGGATGATTATCAGCATGTTAAGAAATTACTCATGCATAGATTCAAGCTTAGTTCGTGGGCACTAAAAACAAAATTTGTAGAACATTCTAGAAAAAAATGGAATGTTATGGGTGGATTTAGTATATGAATTGAGAGTGTATTTAGAGAATTGGTTGGATTCAGTAGAAGTTCAAGATTTTGAAAGTCTTAATGAACTTATGCTCGCCGAGCAAATTAAGTGGCGAGTCCCTCTAGAAATAAGAGAGCACTACTTGAACAATTGGGTTAAAACAGCTTCTATTTTAGCAGAGAAATGCAACAAGTATGAGGCTTTGCGAAGAGATACGAGGAAGTTAGAACAGAGAGCGGGGTTAAAGAAACCATTTGAGAAAGATAGAGAGCGGTATATGTAAATTCTAACTGTAGTTATAATCAGAAAAGTAGTGGTCATCAAAGAATTAAATC